ACCTCAAGAGGTCATCTAGTCCAACCCCCTGCTCAAAGCAGGACCAATCCCCAACTAAATCATCTCAGCCAGGGCTTTGTCAAGCCTGACCTTAAAAACCTCTAAGGAAGGAGATTCTATCACCTCCCTAGATAACCCATTCCAGTGCTTCACCACCCTCCTAGTGAAAAAGTTTTTCCTAATATCCAACCTAAACCTCCCCCACTGCAACTTGAGACCATTACTCCTTGTTCTGTCATCTGGAACCACTGGGAACAGTTTAGATCCATCCTCTTTGGAACCCCCTTTCAGGTAGTTGAAAGCAGCTATCAAATCCCCCCTCATTCTTCTCTTCTGCAAACTAAATAATCCCAGTTCCCTCAGCCTCTCCTCATAAATCATGTACTCCAGCCCCCTAATCATTTTTGTTGCCCTCTGCTGGACTCTTTCCAATTTTTCCACATCCTTCTTATAGTGTGGGGCCCAAAACTGGACACAGTACTCCAGATGAGGCCTCACCAATGCTGAATAGGGGGGAATGATCACGTCCCTCGATCTGCTGGCAATGTTCCTACTTATACAGCCCAAAATGCTGTTAGCCTTCTTGGCAACAAGGGCACACTGTTAACTCATATCTAGCTTCTCGTCCACTGTAACCCCTAGGTCCTTTTCTGCAGACCTAGCCATTCGGTCCCTAGTCTGTAGCAGTGCATGGGATTCTTCCGTCCTAAGTGCACTTGTCGTTGTTAAACCTCATCAGATTTCTTTTGGCCCAATCCTCTAATTTGTCTAGGTCCCTCTGTATCCTATCCCTACCCTCCAGCGTATCTACCACTCCTCCCAGTTTAGTGTCATCTGAAAACTTGCTGAGGGTGCAATCCACGCCATTCTCCAAATCAGTGGTCCCCAACCTTTTTCGTCTGGTGGGTGCCAGACGATGAGCCACAGAGGACTGTGGAGGTGGATGAGCATCCGCCAAAATGGCGCCGAGAAGTGGCAACGTCAATAGGTGTCGCCGCCGAGAAGCAGCGTCATCCAGAAGCAGCGCTGCCGAAATGCCGCTGAAAATCGGCGGCATTTTGGCGGTGATGCCTCTGGATGACGCTGCTTCTCGGCAGCGTTTCGGCGGATGCTCGTCCGCCAGCCAGTATGCAGGCGCACTTAGACACCCCGGTGGGCACCGCGGCGCCAGTGGGCACTGCGGCACCCACAGTCACCGCATTGGGGACTCGTGCTCCAGATCTTTAATGAAGATATTGAACAAAACCGGCCCCAGGACTGAGCCTTGGGACATTAGCTTTTTCCACATCCTCTGTCACTAGTTTGCCTTCCCAACCAGTAAGGGGGCCACACTTTCCCTGACCTTCTTCTTGTTGCTAACATACCTGTAGAATCTTAACATCCCTTGCTAGCTGCAACTCCAAGTGTGATTTGGCCTTCCTGATTTCACTCCTGCATGCCTGAGCAATATTTTTATACTCCTCCCTGGTCCACTTCTTGTAAGCTTCTTTTTTGTGTTTAAGCTCAGCAAGGATTTCATTGTTAAGCCAAGCTAGTCGCCTGCCATATTTACTATTCTTTCTACACATCTGGATGGTTTGTTCCTGCAACCTCAATAAGGATTCTTTAAAATACAGCCAGCTCTCCTGGACTCCTTTCCCCCTCATGTTATTCTCCCAGGGGATCCTGCCCATCAGTTCCCTGAGGGAGTCAAAGTCTGCTTTTCTGAAGTCCAGGGTCCGTATTCTGCTGCTCTCCTTTCTTCCTTTCAAGGGAGGCATGTTACACATGTGTATTATGAATGTATATATTTGTGCATGTGATTTTTAAATTTTGTGTCTGTCACATGAGACCTGATCATCTGTCTTGCCTAGAGTGGACGACTAACAAGCTTGATTCCTCTACAAGATTAAAAAACCCTATCTCATGCTGAAACATCCTGTCACCTGCCATAATCAGCATAGCGCTTTTGAATAATAAATAAGAACAGTACATTCCTATGAATTCCTGCTGATCTATTTCTATCCAAGTCCTAGGTATTGCAGCTCCAGAAGATTAGGGTTGAGCATACCTTCCAGATGCTCAACATCTAGCACACAGTGAGCTTGATCCAAACCACACTGAAGTCAATGGGAAACTTTCAATTTACTTCAATGGAGAGTGGATCAAGCCCATTAGGAGCAGTCCCCGTACTCAGATGGGCCAGTCCGAACAGGAAGAGGCAATACAGACTAAGGAAGCTTAAATCCAGATGCTTATTATCTATTCACTGGACCCAAACATCATCTGTACACAAGAACAAAACAAATGCAAGAAGCCCCTGGGAACTCAAACCAATGTTGATGGACACTAGTTCTAAGATCAATGGGCATCAGACCATCCCAGCCATCATTGCTGATGAGGCTCCAGATCAAGACTGGATCACCGAGAATTGCTTGGCTGACACTGCAAACCTTGTGTTGGCCCATGTTGTCTCTCCCGCCCCTTGCCCCCGCCCGAGGTTATTCAACACACCGTAAGGCAGGCGTGGACCAGAGCACAGGCAGAGTAGCATTCATATTGTCATTCCAACTCAGTGTGGAAGTGGCACCCCAGGAAATACCAAATCCTTCAAACTATTCCATTTTACACATGGAACCAGAGCCAGAGCTAAAGCCAACATGGGCTTTCTACTCATCTATAGACGCAGAAGACCACAGTTTCACAAAGGAGCTGTCCGAGATGCTTTCAGCAATAGCGGTGATACCCCTAAGACTCCTCTTCCCAGCCATGTTGACAAGGCCTCAGATGTAAAACGCCCCAACACATTTCCTCTTTCTCTGTGTTAGGACTCTCACGCCCAACCTCCATAGCCAGCCACATCTTCAGCCTGCTCTTCGCACTAAAAGTCATCACAGAGAACATCACACAGTATGGCTCTATCTTAGACAACCTCCTCATTCTGTCAGCAGTCTGAGCTCTCCCCCCATTCAGGCAACAAGAAGGCTCACAGACCTCACTACATGCTTTAAAACATGCTTCAGGACAGCAACAGCCTCCCAACAGGCTGAGGAGTTGCATTGCTAATAAGTCATTATGTCCACATGCACTAGTTACTACCACTGACACCCTGGATCTCAGACAGCCCCCTCCTCGCTGTTGCCCACACAAATCCCAGTGGTCCTTCCTTGGGCCAGATGAAGAGAGAAGGAAACTTAAGTGCCAATGACAAAAAACTTGGTTTGAAGCAGACAGATTAAAACAGGAAGAATTTCTATAGGCCTCTGGTGAGGCTGTAGGATACTCCAATCATGGCAGAATCCAGCCTTCTTCACTGGAAGAGGCCATCCACATACAGGAAAGGGGCTCCAGATAATCTCTTCAAGGCTGGGGGCAGGAAAGGGGCATGATACATCCTGCTCCCACCTACCATTCCCTCCTTACCCAGGCCCAGCTACTCTCTTGACCCAGGCCACCTACAGCTGCTATAGTCGTTGTGGAAGCAGAGAAAGACTAATGAAAGGTATAAATGCTTGCTGTAATTGTTTACCTGTAGAGGGACCTGCTTAGCTCTCTCCCTCTGCGCAATTGTGAGAGAAGTAAAGCATCTGACTTGCTGTACCCAAACAAAAAATGAGAACTGTGTTTTTCTCCGACATCCTTCAGACCATGGAGCCACAAGAAGGGATGACATTCCAATGAAGATGACTCCCCACTTCTGCATGGATCCTGGAGCATGACCTGGTTCTTGATCCTATGCTCCTTACTCAGGCAATTGAGTCTCAATTGGAAGTTTTGCCTAATTAAGGGGTGAAGTAGGGCCAAACCTCTCATAACCTTTTTTTTTTTTTTAAAGACCCTGCTTTGTGTTTACAAGAGTACCTGACCTTAACATTTACAACAAGGGGGCAAGAGAAATGAAATGTGAAATGAGAAATCTCTGCCAAACTTCTGCAGATTGTGGAGGAATATCACTGCTGACAGGGAGGGGAAAAAAATCTATCAAGAAGCCCTGGTAAGTTCTTTTTCATGCCATCCACTTTCCCCAAGACAACTTATTTCATATTGGCTTATTCATAATTATGCAAATTACTCACTTGTTTGTTCACTTAGATATATGGCATTTATTCTCTTTATTCACAGTTCTCCAGAGATTCCAACCATGCCAATAGCCTATTCCATTCTTTTGTGTCTGATGTATGATGAGTCATCAGGGGACACAGTTTAAACTTAGAGCCAGAATTTGAACTACAATGCTATTTCCCCACTCTTCCACCCATGTGTTCAAAGACTGGTCTGTGCAATTGTTCTTCCTCCCCACCTCCACCTTCCCAAAATAAGGTGGGAAGGCGGGGACTGGATGGCACAGGAGAGTGGCCACTGGCTATACAGTCTTTCACCTATAAGCTACTAACTCAACTTCACCTCAGCTAGGGTTGAGTGAAATTCATTACAATCTGATAGCTATTTATCGGCCCATAAAAAACAAGTTGATGTTCTCAATAGAGTTTCTTAGGATTCCAGTGTGTGCACACGACAAAACAAACCACCTGAAATAGCATTAATGTACACCCTCTTTGGAAGTCTCAGAGGACTAAGTGGTGTCTACCCTAAGAAAAGAGGGTGTTTCTACAACTTAATAGCTAATATTATATGCTATAGTATACAGATATAACTTATAGTGGAAAAGTGTAGATAGGACAAGTTGCAGTTTTTAACCTTGATTTAGCAGATTGCCTACAGTTCATCTGAACTAGCAAAACTGAGGTAGAACTAGTGCATCCTTTGCTCATCTGTGTTAGGATTTTACAATGTGTTAGCTATCACACACCTTTCTTCTAGCAGAGGCCTGCCCTAAACAGTCATGGAGAGTCAGTTACACTCTTCTCCATAGGGGCTGCACTGTCACTTGACCTGTTCTGTGGGTAAACAGAGGATTCCAAAGATGAGGTTCCAAAAAGAACTGGATAAGTTCATGGAGGATAGGTCCATCAATGGCTATTAGCCAGGATGGGCAGGGACGGTGTCCCTAGCCTCTGTTTGCCAGAAGCTGGGAATGGGTGACTGGGAATAGATCATAGGTGTCAACTTCTCCTGGCGCCGGTGGGTGCTCAACCCCACCCCACCCCACCCCTGGCCCGCCCTGACTCCACCCTGCCCCACCCCCTCCTGCCACTGCCCCACCCCCATTCCAACCCCTTCCCCAAAGTCTCCGCCCCAACACTGCCCCCTCCCTGCCCCTATTGCACCCCTTCCCCAAATCCCTGCCCTGGCCCCAACTCTTCCCCTGAGCGTGCTGCATTCCTGCTCCTCCCCCCTCCCTCCCACAGCTTGTTACGCCGCGAAACAGCTGTTTCATGGCGGCAAGCGGGGATGCGGCCCGCTCAGGGGAGGAGGCAGAGGCAGAAGGCAGAGGCGGAAGTGAGCTGGGATGGGGGGGCAGGACGGGGAGCTGCCGGTGGGTGGAGAGTACCCACCAATTTTTCCCCGTGGGTGCTCCAGCCCCAGAGAACCTACGGAGTCGGAGCCTATGGAATAGATCACTTGATGCTTACCTGTTCTGTTCATTCCCGCTGGGGCACCTGGCACTGGGCACTGTCGGAAGACAGGATACTGGGCTAGATGGACCCTTGATCTGACCCAGTATGGCCATTCTTATGATGGCACCTTTTATTGAAGCACATTTAATGAGGATAAATCTTTTTTTTTTGGGGGGGTGGAGGGGGAGAAATATGCCAGCACTCAGAAACAAATTAGTGCATTCAATGGAAGGAAACTGATAACAGATTTTATTTATTTTCAGACAGAAGAAGAATTATTATAAAATTTAGAACACTATGAAAAACACCTTGAAGGACTCCTGCTAGCCAATGTTATAAAGGCAACCATGGCACTAACATACAGTGTTATTATTTATTATTATGTTTACTGTGTGGTCAGTGTGCGTGGCATTGGAACAAACAAGAAAAGACAGATCTGGGCCCAGAAAGCTTACAATTGGACACCTAAGTCTGTACAGAGCCCCAGTCTCTGCTTGGATGCAGGGGGTCTGCCTGAATGGATCCAGGTGCAGAATCAGGGTCTATACTATATAATTAAGGCCTGGGTTTTACAAAAGCTATTATTTAGTTTTTAACCAATTTTCACCCAAATTTTGGAACACTCAAGTACAAAAAAGAAGCACTGAACTCCCCGGACCTGGCTCCCGGCTCTTGAAGGAGGGATGGTCGCTTGGGAACCTGGGTGGCCCAGGTAACTAAGCTGCCACCTCTCCTTCCGGAGCAGGCCCAGAAGCGAAAGAAGTAGAGGAGGCAGCATGAGGAGATGGCACCCTTGCTTCCTCCACCTCTTCCAGGTCTGCTCCAGAGGGAGTGATGACGGCTCCGTAACCTGGGCTGGACAAATTACTGAGCCATGATCTCGCCTTCCGGAGAAGCGAGCTGGGTCTGGACTCCCCTGGCATTAAACCGCTTTTACTTTCAGTACTCTTATTTTTCTTTGTTGCTTTTCTCCCTGTCCTCCCCTCCCTGAATATTAGCCCTGATACTTACCCAGAAAAACAAAGTTAATTTTGAGCACTGATTTTCACCCTTAATTTTTGTAACAAACAGCGATAAATTCCAGGGAAACTTTAAACAAAATAAAACCGAAAACAAAGGGCCTCACATATAATACAATTCTGATACACTGGGTACCGACATCTTTCACTATTACCTACTCTCAGCTATCCACTTAGGGTCTGATCCCCCTCCAATAAAATTCAGTGACAAAACTCCCTTTCACTTCAACGGTGTAGGATTGAGCCCCCAGTTATTAATGCTCAATAATTTCTTCTTATACACACAAAGGTTCAACACTAGAAACTTCAACAGATCCAGTGCAAATAATATGTCATAATAAATGCTAATACCCTACTTAAATTTCTAATGTCCCTGTTTGAATTCAGGAAATTAGCATACAGCTGCTAACTGCCACAAAAAAGGATTACTACTGAACATGAAACATCAACATCCCTCTGTAATATGGAAATGACAGCAACATTTCCATATGAGTGTTTTCAGTGAGAAATTCAACCTGTGAAAATCTGCAAGGAGAATATTTTTATCCAATTGTCTGGGGAAACCTGAAATTGTAATTTTTGTATGTTTACACACACACACACTTTTGTACTAAACATTTCCCTGGAGCATCTGGCACCTGAAAGACAATATTTTTGCATCTACTTTGCAATTCCAGCTACCCAACGTTTTAGAGTGCTGAAAACAGCAGTCTCGTGTGTCCAGCCCCTAATACCATGATCCATTGTCAGATTTTTTTTAAACAGAGTCACTATTGCTAATCAACAATCTCACTGTTTATGTCTCCTGCTCAGATCCCATTAGATCACCATTGCCCAGGTTTACTGAAACTTTGAATTCTCTTGAAGCATGCATTTACTGGTTTGAGCTATAGAAAGAATCACAGAAGGAAAATAGTTGTATTTTCTTAAAAATCGCCCAACTACACAGGCTTTTGGGTAGGAACTCTCATACCTCCCATATTATGTATTCTCCTCTCTCAAGGCGGTGTGGCCAAATATATCCCTGCTATAATCACATTGGCTTTTAAAGGAGTTACATCAGGGATTAATTTGAACTAATAAACACGGTGCTAGATTGATGACCACATTTTTTTTAAAAACTACAGTGGACATCCACCAGAAGACCATCCCTTGCTAGATGTTCCAGCACTGGTGTAATAAAGAACTTTAAAGTTGGAATGAGTACAGAAGAGTGACTAGAAAAAATTAAGCACAGTCAAGAAAGTCTTCTCTGCCCAGAACCAAAGGCTGTCTACAAGCTTCTGCAAAAAGTTTGCTTAGAAGCAAGGGAAACAACAAACTAAAGAGCTCTGGTGGGCTACATTCACCCTGGGAGCGCCCCCTTGCATCCCTGTGTGATGTCACCGGTATGTTTGGTTCCAGGTCTTCTGTGGCTCAGTCCTCCAGCCAAGTTGTGTGACGTTGAAAGCCCTTCTGAAGTAACTACAAGCCCTAAATCAAACACCCACACGGATAGTCCCTCTCGGGTGCCACCAAAGTTCTCTGTTCATTGGCCTCTTCTCCTGGCATCTGCAGAGCTTTTCTCACCTTATTACCTCTCCAGCTGGCTTCCCCTACTGCCGCCCTTCCCCAGGGATTCTGACAGCTTTCCTTAGGTATCTCCTGCTGCAAACTTCTCTTGTAACTACTAGCTCATCTGCCACTGCTGGGCTTCTCTTCCATTCCCTTATCCCCATAGGTCCTAGCTCAGGGCTCCCGCACAGGCTGCTGGGGCTCGGCCTAAGGGTCTGTTTAATTGTGCAGTAGACATTCAGGCTCACGCTGCAGCCTAGGTCTAGAACCCTGCAAGGTGGGAATCCCAGAGCTTGGGCTGCAACCTGAGCACCTACACCTCAGCTAAATAGCCCTTTAGCCTGAGCCCATGTCTGCCAGCAAAGGGGGTCTACTTTCAGTATAGACACACTCTATGAGACTCTCAGCCTGCCTTCCTCAGGCTCTTCCCAGAGGAGAACTCCCCTCATTCCTCCCTCTAGTGCACTGTTTCCCAAACTTGGGACGCTGCTTGTGCAGGGAAAGCCACTGGCTGGCCGGGCCAGTTTGTTTACCTGCCATGTCCACAGGTCCGGCCGATCGTGGCTCCCACTGGCCATGGTTCGCTGCTCTAGGTCAATGGGAGCTGCTGGAAGCGGCGGCCAGCATGTCCCTTGGCCCGTGCCACTTCCAGCAGCTCCCATGGCCTGGAGCAGCGAACCACAGCCAGTAGGAGCCGCGATCGGCTGGACCTGCAGACGCGGCAGGTAAACAAACCGGCCCGGCCCGCCAGGGGCTTCCCCTGCACAAGCGCCGTCCCAAGTTTGGGAAACACTGCTCTAGTGAGTTCCCAGCTCTGTGTAAGTAGTTCTTTCCCTGCTTTACCACCACAGCTGGGGTTTCTAGTTTCTAGTACACCCAGCTGGGGTCACTAATTAGTCCAT